ACCACACAATTACACAGGAAATAAACCTTTCAAATAAGGAACAGAAAATGGCTCAAATTTTATTACATATTTCAATTAATTACTCTTCGGGTCCTGCAATCTGGAAAGACTAGGATCTCTTCTTCATTCATGTCTTGTTTGGAAAGTTAGTTTTCCTGGGAAAATTATTTACTCTTTTCACCAAAGTCACCTGGTGAAGAGGCTGTGACTTTTCCTTTTATTTATTTATTTACAGTATGTATATTCCGCCCTTCTCACCCCACAGGGGACTCAGGGCAGATTACAATGTACACATACATGGCAAACATTCAATGCCATAGACACACAACACATATAGACAGACAGTCAGAGGCTATTTAACATTCCAATTTTCTGGCCACCAGGGGAGCTGTTGCTTCACCGTCCATCTGCGACACTGATGAAGTACTTTCCGCATTCCCCTCATGCTTTTGCTGGAGATTTTTTATGGCCTCGTAAATTTGTTAAATTAGCCTCCCCACACATAGGTGGTACTAAAATTTCCTACTTGACAGATGCAACTGTCTTTCAGGTTGCAAAGGTCGACAACAAGCTACACAAATTGGCTGGAAGCTCACTCCGACCCGGGCTGGCTTCGAACTCATGACCTTTCGGTCAGTAGTGATCTTAATGCTGCTGACATCCAGCCAGCTGCGCCAGAGTCCTGGTGCATCTAGGACCTAATAATTATTATTCAGTTATTATTATTATTATTATTATTATTATTATTATTATTATTTTACTGAGACAAAAACACAGTATGTCACAGCAAACAAGATATATATGCTGGATTTCGTATCACAAAATCACAGGTCGAACACTTCCCAAACATTTAGGACTGTGTGATGTATTTTTGAATTATGCCCATAGACTCAAGGAAGGTAGCCTTTTGCAGTTGACAGATCATGATTTTGTCAATGTTTATTGTTTCTAAATACCGGCTCAGATCTTTTGGCACGACACCCAGTGTGCTGATTACCACTGGGACCACCTAGTTTATGCCAGAGCCTTTGCAGTTGGATTTTGAGGTCCTGATAATGGCTGAATTGCATCATCATCACCATCATCATCATCATTAGAAACACAACAAGATGAGTCCACATCAAACAAAATCACTCTGCTGGCTGTTGTATTGGATCACACGTCTGACACTTCCCAAGTGTCTAGGACTGTGTGATGTATCGGCGAATAATGCGTGCAGATCCCAGTAAGGTGGATCTGCCTTTTGCAGCTATATGATGTATCTGCGAGTGGCCCTTTGCACTGACATATGGTAATTTTGTCAGCGCCTATTGTGTTTAAGTGCAGGCCAAGGTCTTTAGGCACTGCACCCAGTGTGTCGATCACCACTGGGACCACCTTGACTGGCTTGTGCCAGTCTTTAAATCCTCATATCGTGTCAGCTTTTCCAGTTGTTTCTCTTCAATCCTGCTGTTGCCTGGGATTGCAACACTGATGAGCCATATTTTGTTTTTTAACACAATTGTGAGGTCAGGAGTATTGTGCTCCTGTCAGTCTGAATTTGGAAGTCCCAGAGTAGTTTGATGTGTTCATTTTGCATAACTTCTTCAGGTTTGTGATCCCATCAGTTCTTTGTTGCAGGCAGATAGTATTTGTGGCACAAGTTCCAATGAATCAGCTGAGCAACGGTGTTATGCCTCTGCTTGTAATCTGTCTGCGTGATCTTCTTGCAGCAGCTGAGGATGTGATCTGTTGTTTCATCTGTTTCCTTGCAGAGTCTACATTTGGGATCTGTTGTTGACTTTTCAATTTTGGCTTTGATTCCATTTGTTCTAATGGCTTGTGCTTGGACTGCCAGAATCAGGCATTATTATTATTATTATTATTATTATTAGTAGTAGTAGTAGTAGTAGTAGTATCCCACCCCCTCTTCTCAAAGGGACTCAAAGTAACTCACATCAATATAAAACTAACAAAATACGTGGCACACTGGGTGCAGTGCCTAAAGACCTTGGCTCTGATCTCCAGGTTGTGAGCAGCCACAGAGGCCACTAGACAGAGCTTGTGCTTCTCTTCCCTGCAGTGGTCCCCAGCGCTGCTACTGTGATCATTGTGGTGTGTGTCAGCTTCCTGGCCCTGATGGTTATCCTGGGCATCCTACGCATCCACTCCTTGCACAGGCGAGGGGGCGAGCGGGAGTGTACAAGCGAATCTGCTGGGAGCCAGGGAGGGGCCCATGCCAAGGAGAGCGAGATGTTCTGGGACGACTCTGCTCTCACCATCATCGTCAACCCCATGGAGGTGAGTGGGGGGAGAAGCGGAGGGCTCATGGTGGGACGGGGCCTTTTGGGGCAGAGATGGAGAGCTGAGGGTCACTGTGCCTGCCTCTTCTGTCTCTTCCACAGTCCTATCAGAACTGCCAGGAGAGGGCAGCGGAAAGCACAGAGTCGAAGGCCCGAGAGGCAGCTGAAGAGGAGGACAGCAGTGGCTCTGACTCACCAGACAGCCCTGGCAGTGATGCTGCTGAGAGCCAGCGCATTGTGGGCAAGCATGATGCCCCTTGCTGCTACTAGAGGCATGCAGTGGAGGGTGGGGTGGGGGGAGAGGAAGTGGAATGCCAACAAGAGGGAGGTTCTGATGTTGTTTAGTATTTGAGGGGGGCGGGGGACATAACCGAACCCCTTACCGTCTTTCTCGTCTTTCTCTTCCTACTCTCTGTCCTGCCCTTCTGTTTTCTCCAGACCTCCTCTGTTTGCACACTGGAAGTATAACATTTTGATGCATGAGGCAGAAAATCTAATTGGCATTTTCCCTGCCCTGAGTAAATACGGGACACAATCTGCCGGCAGTTCTCCAGTGCAAGCCAAACAAATTGAAGGGGGAGTTATGTGTGGATTAGGTCCTATGGCTCAGGTTTCTTTCTCTCCAATCCTGCTGCCCTGTAATTTGCTTCCTGGGGTGGTTGCTTTGGCCTACTGCATCACAGACCCACTTCCACCTCCTGTCCCAACCTCCTTTTCAAGAGCAATGCCCGAGAAAAGGATAATCTTTCTTCCTAGGCTCCTCCTGTCTTGCTGAAATTCAAGTGGGACACTTCTGACCTCCTTCTCTAGCAGAAGGACCTCCAATTCCCACCCCACCAGGTTAGGATGACCTTGGTTGTCATCCTATGCAGCAGGAATGCAGAGAAATGAGAAGGGGGCTCGGGCGAGGTGACACATGGGGTTAATCGGACACCCCGAGATACTATATATATATATTGTATATTTTTTCAATGTTGTTGTTTGAGGTTTATTCTCGTTTTCTTGTTTGATGCAAACAAACAAAAAACTGCTGCTTGTGTTGCTTTGTAAAATTGTCAATAATATTCAAACAAGTGAAGAAAAACAATGTGGAGAAGAGAATGGAACAGATTTTAAAATAAAAAGAATTTTAAAAAGTCAAGATCCTGCATGCTAGAGACTTTTCCTTCAAAGACTAGGGCATTTATTCTAATTTATACCCCCTCAAGCTAGAGCAACAAGAGTTGGGTAGAAATCACCACCGGCTCGTGTTCTTAATCACATCACTTCAGAGGATCCACAGCCATGGCATGTGTGATACAGGCTGTAAAACACCTGTATACACACCATGGACTACAACATATCCTGAGGAGACATTGAAGTGAACTTAGGTCAAGGGAACCAGGGATATGATTAGAAGAACTAAGAGTCCTCAGGCTAGGGAGTTGAGACTCTAGTGTTGATGTTTTACCAGGACACTTCCCTGAGGACTACCATGTTCCTGGAGAGAGGGAGAATCACATTATCTACTGGCTCCAGAGGTGGTAATTTCACAGGGGCATGTTATGTTGTCTAGGCACGGTAGGGCTTCCAGTGTCTCCTATGCCCTTTGCGACTGATCAGGTTGTGAAAGCATGCTTCCCAGGGAGGCAAGGGGGCTTGGGTTGAGTTGCTGGCACCTGAGATGGCCAGAGAAACATGTGTGGCATTCTTCCACTTTCAAGGTGTTGTCAAAGGCATTCATGGCCTTGCAGAATGGCCTTGCAACTTCAAAGCCTGGTTGCTTCCTGCCTGTAGGAATACTTTGTTGGGAGGTGTCAGTTGGCCCTGATTGTTTCCTATATGGAATACCCCTGTTTTTCTTAGTATTGCTCTTTAGTTAGTGTCCTGGTTTTAGAGATTTTTTAAAATACTGGTAGCCAGTTTTTGCTTCTTTTCAGGGTCTCCTCTTTTCTGTTGAAATTGTCTGCATGCTTGTAGACTTTCCTCACCAACTTCTATGTGGCAGGCATCCTCAGAGATTGTGAGGTTTATTGGAATAGCAGAGGTATATCAGCTCTAGAGCACTAGAGGAACCAAACTGGAGACAGCGTATTATTTGAGAACGCAGAAGTGCTGGACCACTCTAACAAGCACCATGTCAGACTACACAGAGAAGCCATTGAAATTCACAAGCATGTGGACAATTTTGAAGAACGGTGGCAACTATGAAAATGAACAAAATGTGGCTACCAGTATTAAAAAAACTCAAAAAAAATTAGGACAGTAAATAAAGAAAAAACAATCTGAAAATGGGAATTCCAGACATCAAACTATCAGGGTCAGCTAACACCTCCCAACAAAGGATTGCCCCAGGAAACAACCAGCCAGACTTTGCAGCTGCAAGGCCATTAAATACCAATTAAGGTGGGCAATTGCAACATTCACACTTGCATCAAACAGACAAGAGTTCTTTCTCTCACCCTGGACATTCCACAGATATATAAACCACCCTTGTCTAATTTCCAATGTACCTCTGAGGATGCTTGCCATAGATGTGGGCAAAACGTCAGGAGATAATGCTTCTGGAACATCTTCCACTTTCCTCTATCTGTCCATACTCTAAAAGGTGGTTCCTGAGGCCGTCTAGGCAGAAAATCCCCTGCCTTTCCTTAGTTCCCAAGATTATTTCACTAATGTAGAGGTGCCTGGATCCAAATTCTGGGCAACAATACGATGTGTTGTGAGAAAAGAACCATGTTGCAGCTTTGCAGTTTTATTAATAAAATATGAACATTTTATGAACTTGGAAACAAAGAGTTACATTATATTTGTTGCATCCTTTCTTCGGCACGTCAGAGCGAGAGGTCCATCTACAAAACTTTGCACTGGAAGGCACAGCGGTTGCTTTTCACATCACTGCAGTCTTCCTTCCTCTTGGAAGATATTCCCGTATTAGCTGCCTGTATATTATACTCTCACCCCTTCCAAACTCTCTTTGGATCCTGTTTTCCTCTTAAGAAGGCAAAATGTGCATGTGAAATCTATATAGAAGCCTACAAAAGGTAACTGCAACTTTTACTCACAAGTTTCTCTCCCTCTCCAACTGCGACCACAATTTCCAGTACTCAGCTTCACCACCCGCCCTTATTTTTGTGTATTAGCTAAACTGATACCCCATCTTTCCTCACTTTATACCACCCTCCTTCTCTCCACACGTATTCTCATAATAACTGTATGAGGTTGGTCGATGACTGGCTTATCATCCATGGCTTAGTGATGAAATGAACTCAATGCTCCTACATCCCAGGACATACTAATCTCATGTTCCCATGACACTCTAGTTCTCTGGTGGTGCAATGGGTTAAACCCTTGTGCCAGCAGGACTGCTGACTGATAGGTCAGCAGTTCGAATCCAGGAATAGCAGGTTGAGCTCCCTCTGTCAGCTCCAGCTCCCCATGCGGGGACATGAGAGAATCCTCCCACAGGGATGGTAAGACATCAAAACATCCAGGCGTCCCCTAGGCAATGTCTTTGCAGACGGCCAATTCTCTCACACCAGAAGTGACTTGCAGTTTCTCAGGTCGCTCCTGACATTAAAAAAAAGCAAATAACAGGGGATCTGTATACATTGTAAAGGTGTAGACATCCTGCATATCTTCTTGTTGTTGTGTGCCTTGAAGTTGTTTGGGGAGGAGCAGGGGAAACTCATTGGGTCGGACTCTGGTTGCAAGTATTGCCAGTGGAGGACAAACAAAAATATTCACTACTTCACACCCCACAGAATCTCCCACTGTTTTCCTTATAACAGCATCTTCTCAGCCAATTTGCCAGCCTAGCTCAAACCACAGGAGAAGTAGAGCAGAACATTTTTCTCTGCCTGAAATGACACAACCAGTATGCCTAGCATGCCAGAGACACTGAAAAGTCTCTCTGCCTGTAAACAGGACTTTTGGCAGATACATTTCTGTAGTGTTGCTTCTCCTTGATGAGCTATGCATCTTTCCACCTGTATCTCTCATCCATGTGTATGTCTTCATCTGTGGATGCTTTCTGGGACTGACAGAGAACCAGGAAAAAGATCTTCAGGAATTATTAAGTCTGGCAAGGAAAGCGTTACTGAGAGGCTGCCAGACTTCAGGGTTTTCTAGCAGAGTATTGCTCAGCTATACAACAGGGAAACAATGCATTACATTAAGGCACAATATAAATAACAGGGAAGCAATGCATTGCATTAAGGTACAGTATAAATACTAGATTTGGGTCCAAATAACTGTTAACTAAAAGATTTGTAATTTCCGGAAGGCCGTTTTCGTTAAATTTCCAAAAACAGAAAGGGAAAGAGAGAGACGAAAAGGCTAGTGTAACAGATTCAGAGAGACTATATTTTCGGAAAGAGATCACAAAATACTTGAGGCAGGGGAATATGTGGCATCTTTTTCTCTCCCCAGAAGAAGAAGTTGCCTCCGGAAGGGCCGGGCTGGTAGCACAACTGGTTAATCAGCTGCAATAAATCACTGCCGACTGAAAGGTGGCAAGTTTGAAGCCCGAGTCCAGGTTGAGTGCCCGACTGTTAATAGCTGTTAAAAAAATAGCTGTTAAAAAATGCCCAGCTCACTGTTGACCTAAGCAGTCCGAAAACAGCTGTGAGCTGTGAATAGAGGAATTAGGGACCGCTGAAAGCAGGGAGGCTAATTTATGACACCATAAAAATGCTAGAGAGCAAGGAGGAAATACTACGATCAAAAAGGCTCGGCGTCATAGTGGATGAAGTGACAGGTCCCCCATGGCCGAATTGAGCAACCTCCAGGATCCAAAATGGAAGAGCTGCTGAAAGGCCTCTATCTGCCTGTATGTCTTGTATGTCAAAAACGGCATTTAATGTTTGCTGTGTATATGTACATTGTGATCTGCCCTGAGTCCCCTTCGGGGTGAGAAGGGAAGAATATAAATACTGTAAATAATAAAATAATAATTTATTGGAAAGTTACCTCCTCCTCCAGAGAAGGTACTGGGAACTCACTTTCCCAGTGGCACTTGCATAGGGTGGCCTTAGGGAGTATGATGGGAGTTGAAGTTTTTCTCTCTGTGTGTGTCTCTCAGCCAAGAAAAAGCCTGGTGGTGTCCATGCTCTGATTGGCTGAGAATGGACACAAGCGACAACTACAATTCTTGCAGTATGTCTTATTTTAGAAAACAATTCTTGAAAAATCACTAGATCGGTGAATTGTTTTGAAACTTGGCAGGCCTGCAGTTGTAAATTGGGTCTCCAACTGAGGTAGATTTCATGTACATAGACCTTAAAATGGCTGAGGATTGAGCTCTTAAAGTTTCCCATCGTAGCCAATCTGTACCGAATGAAAACGGAAACATGCCTCCCCTTTCGAGTCAGGGTCAGACAAAAACAGACCCCAAAACAGCGTGCCTTTTGGCCCCAATGCACATGCTTAATAAATACTGTGAATCACCTCAGCCAATTGTTAGAAAGGGGAGAGAGAGTCACGTTCCTCTTGCCAAGTAAATGATCAGTTCATAGGTGACCATGACGATAGCAGCATTGGGGATCTGGCGCATCAGATGGGGCAGGAGCCCACGGTAAAGAGCTGGGAAACCTTCTTCTCTGACGACAAGTTGCAGGGTTTGCACAAAGGAGCGATAGCGTGAGCCCTCCTCTCTCAGCCTTGTTCGGATGACCTCTGCGGAGAACAGACAGGTGAAAAAAAAGCAGAGGTGAGCAAACATAACTTCTTATTTTCTAGGGGAAAGGCAGCTGCCAGGAAACTCTCAACTCCCCCCATCCAAGCAGACAGATTTTGAGGAAAGCATGGAATGAGAGCAACTCACCATGTGGGTAGGCAATGCATGAGGCACATGTTTTGGAGATGGCGGCTGCAGCCATCAGCCTACAGAAGTCCTGGCTGTTGTGTGAAAGGGGGAGAGATGGGGCCAGGAAAGCCTGATCCTCTCTGAGCCGTTGCTTCAGCGCTTCATAGATCACAAAATGGATTATAGTTTCTGAGACGCCAGCATATGAGGCAGTAATCCCACGGTAAAAGCCTCGCAAGCCTTCAGTGTAGTAAACTCGCATCGCACACTGAAGGCCATTGGCACGACTCTCACCTCTGGCTCTGCAAGAAGAGTGGGGGGGAAAGGGCTTAGGAACCCACCTCCATCAATAGCCATAAGTTCAATACCCTCAAATTACTAACAAATAGGTAAACATAAAGGTTTCACTTGACATTAAGTCTAATTGTGTCCGACTCCAGGGATGGTGCTCATCTCCATTTCTAAGCCGAAGAGCTGGTGTTGTTCATAGATGCCTCCAAAGTCATGTGGCCAACATGACTGCATGGAGCGTCGTTCCCTTCCCGCCATAGCGGTACCTATTGATCTACTCAAATTTGCACGTTTTTGAACTGCTGGGTTGGCAGAAGCTGGGGCTAACAGTGGGAGCTCATCCCACTCCCTGATTTGAATCGTTGACCTTTCAGTCAGCAAGTTCAGCGGCTCAGCTGTTTAACCTGCTGCGCCACTGGGGGCTCCGTGCTAATGAATACACCCAAAATTTGCACCCAAAATTCTGTAGCTTGTATTTTTGTCTAATTCCTCTTCATTATGCATATACTTCATTTTGCAGTGTTTACTAATTTTCACAATTTCTCCCGATTCTAGTTATCAGTATTCACAAAAAATTATATGAGCTAATGCAGCCCTATCCCTTAGCTATGCAAAGATTTACCCAGGACATGTTTATCTGTGGAGAGCTGAGAGACTTCGGAAGAAGCAAAACCAAGTTTCTTCTGCATTCTGTACCCCGGGCTTTCCATGCCTATGAAGAGCTGGAGGACGTGGCCACCATACCAGTTACTCTTATCTTCACAAGGCCTTGTCTTCCTAATGGCACCCCAGGAAAAAATTATGTCCAAAAGGAACTGAAAAGTTATTATTTCCTTACCTGGCTTCCAGTTGCATCCTGGTCTTTACCAGCCAGATGGGGTTGGTCAAAGTGGCAGACGTAACCCCTGCAGAGAGGAGATACAAGCATGGAACTTGATGGTTTCTGGACCATCTCTAAGGTCTATTAGAGACAAATCCAGCCAGAGTTGAATCGTTTTATACTCATCTGATTGTAATAGGAGAATATCATAAACTTAAAAAACTCTTTCATGGATGCCAGTGGCACCTTAAAGTGTTTAAAGTAAGCTTAATGGTGCCTCATTTTAGCAGTGTCTTCAGTTTGCTAGAAATGTCACACCCTCCTTTGCCTAACTCTCTTTTCTTTGGAAACTGCAATCTTCTCAAGCTTCCACTAGTTATTTGTTATGTATATAATTGCTTCCTCTATTGTATATGTGTATATGGGTCTGCAGTTTTAACCTCTTTGTTGTGGGAGGGGCTGCAGACCACGTGATCAAGTCTGGGCATGTTCAGGACTCAGACTCCATTTTAGATACAGTTTGCTTCAGACTTCAATGTAGAGACTATATGCTTAGAGACTTAGACTTTCAGACTAGACAGAGACTCTATTACGCTCTCAAAACAGAGAGATGCTTTAGATTATGGGCTATTGATTATAAGAAATAAGCCCCATGTTACTACACAGAGAATCTACTTCAAATCCTATTGTAACTGGATTGATAAGCAAAGTACCTGTATGCTGAATACATGAAGTTTGTGAGTAAACTAACTGCTACTTTTAAAGAAGACTCTTTGTCTCTTGAGAGCATCATTTAAGGGCAAAGATATTTTAAGGGAGAGTCGATGTTTTTGGTCCACTTTGCTGAATATATATATGTTCGTGCATTGGCATATCTTTGTCCCTATGTTTGTGCATTGGCATATCTTTGTTCAAAGACATACCTAGGTACATCTGTTTAACAGCTGAGAAACCTAGTTGCCTTGCATGAATGCTGGTGAATACCATTTTTTCAAAGGGTTATAACTCTAACAGATCATGCTTTTTACCAAGAGGTTATAGCATCATTTTTCAAAGGGTTGTGACTTCTAACAAGGTCATTCCTTTCTTAAAATCTCCAAAAGAATTCTGGAGATTTTCATTTTCCAAAAGGTTGTGTGACTATTGGTTTTCCAATTTTTTTGGCATATCTTCTATGAAAACTTAAGATTACAGCGCATGAAGTAATCTAAGAGTACCACAACGTGAGGCATAGACTAACCTGCACAAGCTGCTGAAAGCATGTGGACTTTCTTGGACTCTGGCACAAGCACAGTGTTCAATTTCTCCTTCGCTTCCGAATATGCAGCAAAATATATGGCTCTAGAAGAGGGGGAAAGAAGCAATTAATATATTTAAACTACTTTTACAACAGAAAACAAAACTATAAATTGAATTTTAATATATTGTTCAGATCAGAATGTCCTTGAAATGCTTCTTTCTATGACTGGTTTACACTGAGAATATGAAGTCTAAAGTTTTTTAAATAGTGTCAGAAGCGAATTGAGAATATACTGCAAGTCGCTTCTGGTGTGAGAGAATTGGCCATCTGCAAGGATGCTGCCCAGGGACGGCCAAATCTGTTACTACCCTGTGGGAGGCTTCTCTCATGTCCTTGCATGGGAAGCTGGGGCTGACAGATGGGAGCTCATCCCTTCTTGTGGATTTGAACCACCAACCTTCAGGTCTTGGTCAGCAATTCAGCCGACACAAGGGTTTAACCCAGTGAGCCACCGCGGCTCCTTAAGTCTAAAGTGGCCAAAATGCTCATTTGAGTCACAAATGCTTTGCTTTCTTCATTAACAAAAGAGTTAGCATAAATAACATAAGAGACATTTTGTTCAAAATTACTTAATCTGCAAGTTTTTTGACAATTGTTGAAAAAGGAACTCAGCTGGATGTTATTTTCAATATGGCTCTGTTTTTAAATTGTTACTTTCACTACATCCTATATTGAATTTTGTTTCCATATTTACTCATTTTGTTTGTTTTTTGTATTAATGTGAACGGCCTTAATTTCCACTTGGCTGGGGGAGAATGACATAGCCATTACAATAAATAAATATATAGCTCAATAGTTTGGTCGCCGTCCTAGGACAGAATTATTCCATAAGATCTTGGTGCGAACAATGCAACAGCCCTTCCTTTCCCTCAGGACACTGTTACATCTCTGTGTGTCAAGATGTGTGGTGACCCTTTTTGCCCATTAGACAAGTTGCAATGGCAATGCATAAGAATATTCCCCGGAGATGGGAATCAGGCCATTTTACCTGGAAGGAGCAACTCCGACAAGATTAGGTCCCAGGCCTCGAAACAGGGAGCGAATGCCTTCCTTTTCTAGAATGGTTCTGTGAAATGAAATGAAGGAAAAAGAAAGGAAAAGACAAGAAAGGGGTTATTTTGTGCATATTCCCTTTGGGTGAAGGAAAGAAGACCTGCTGAAGGAGGAAGGAAGGAAGGCTCCTCTTTCCCACCTGAAGACAATGCCTGATGCCCAACCCTTCTCCACTTCTCACCTCAACAGGTGAAGGATGCCTCCAGAGGGGCCTCCGGGGCGGATCAGAGCCCCATTCAGCCCTTGCAGCTCCACTGCTGGGAAGCAGATAGGCCTCAGGGCCCAAGAGGAGGACTGCAGGCGGGTCTTCACTACCTCCAGCGGGCAAGTCAAGATGGCTCCAGCTGTGCCACCCAATCTGGGGAAGGAGAAAGAGACGATCCAGAGTCAGTGTCTGTTACATCAATCGGTATTCATAGGTTATCTTGTGAGAACAACTCTGCTCTATAAGAACATGCCTTTCCAGAATTTCCAGAGGCTCTTCACACACTACATTTTAAAGCAGTTTGCTAAATATATGTAATTTAATACAGCGATATCTTAGGTTGAGTTTAATTCGTTCGACGACTTAGGTCTTAACTCAAATTGCTCTTATCTCAAAGCAAAATTCCCATTGAAATGCTATTAAGTCGTTCTGGGGCCCCTACTCCCACTACTTCCATTTATGTTATGTATTTTTAAATAAAAATATGTACTTTGTCTATATAAATAAAAATGTAATGTTTGTTTGTGGGATTAACATAACTCAAAAACTACTGGGGGAATTGACACCAAATTTGGACACAATACACCTATCAGGCCAACGAGTGACCATCACTCATAAAAAAAAAACCCTGAAAAACACAGCGGAAGAGACTTAACAAACCAAAGAATAAAAAATACATTACAACACATGCACAAAACCACATATATACACACATACACAAATACAGGGTGAGGAAGCATAACTTCCTTTTTTAAAATGCGCGCCATTCAGCCGGTTGAAGACATAGCGGAGCGCTAGTGGTCTCATTAGAGAAGCGAGAGTATAAAGCTTTGTCCTGGCACAGTTCAGTCACCATCATGCCCTACAAGATTTGAAAACCAACATCCAGGAAGAAATTGCCAACATAACACCTGCTATGCTGGCAAGCGTCATGACAAATGCCAGAAATTGGTTTACTCAGTGTATGGAGAATGGGAGACATCACCTATCTAATTTGATCTTCAAAACTATGTAAAACAAAACTTTAGGTATGCGCCTACATTATATATATATAAAAAAATTCTGATTCATACAATGGGTTTTATTAAGTTTTAAAAAAGGAAGTTATGCTGCCTCACCCTGTATATACACACACAAAACACATATACAGACTGGGCCACAGCAATGTGTGGCAGGGAATGGTTAGTAAATAACATATAATGTATAAATGCGCATTTACATGGAACAATAAAAAGAAAGATCAACTTTAAAATGTTAGAAGCACAAGGAAGGAAGGCTCCTCCTTCACCTGAAGGCAATGCCTGATGCCCAGCCCTTCTCCACTTCTCACCTCAACAGGTCAAGGATGCACACAGGATGCACAAGGAGGCACACAGTACAAAGTGAAGAGGTGGAAATATCATTTTTTTTCATTCTGTACTCATTCCAGCCTCCATCCTTCTCTTGCTCTCTCCCTCTCTCTCTTCATGAAGCCAAACATATCAGGAATAAAAACCATACCAAACCAACTAACTCAAAGTTCCTCAAAGCGGACAAGAAAAAAGCAGACAGTAATCTCGCAAAAACGGAGAAGAGCACGAGGCATGGGGGCACAGACGAACAGGGCATGAAGGCTGGTCTCTTAAAGCTTTAAAGCCCTGTATTCTCATGCTAGCGCTTCCTCTGGCACTAGCTCTTAGCTCAAAAACACCACTCACATGTCAAAAAACAGGCCAAGCCATCACTCTTAACTCAAAACACTATTAAGTCATGATGCTCTTAAGTCAAGGTTCTAGTATATGTGGCAAAACGTAATTGAAGGAAGAAAATCTACACTGCTCAGAGAATCAGTGCAACAGACATTGGGTGGCAAAAATGTGCTTGCTGTGCAGATGACTGCAACAGATGCATACATGCCAACTATCTTGGATCTTGCGAAGGACTGTTTCCCAATGGAATAGTAAATGTCACCAGCCAAGGACAGTGTGCTCTACACGACTAAGGATTTACAGCTGGCAAGACTGATGAATCAAAGCATTTTAATCTTGCTATATATAGAGTGTGAACTTGACAAATTGTATTTTCAAATTTAATCCTAAAAATGGGTGGGGACATAGACTCATAGAGTTGGAAAAGACCACAAAGACTATCTAGTCCAACCCTCTGCCATGCAGGAAACACATAAACAAAGCACCCCAACAGATGGTCATCCAGCCTCTATTTAAAAGACTCCAATAAAGGAGCCTCCACGACACTCAGAGGCAGAGAGTTCCACTGTTGAACAGGAAGTTCTTCCTAGGGCCCAGGTGGAATCTCTGTTCCTGTTATTTGAACCCATTGCTCAGGATGCCATAAGGAAGAGTCTGCTTCCTCTTCCTTATGGCATCCTTTCACATATTTATACCTGGTAGTTATGTCTCCTTTCAGCCTTCTCTTGTGCAGGCTAAACATACCCGCTCTTTAAGTTGCTCCTAATAGGGATTCATGGTTTCCAGACCTTTGAACGTTTGAGTCACCCTCCTTTGGCTATTAGTAGCCCATGGCTGTGTGGATGGGCCATGGAAATGCTCTTTTAGCAGGCCAAGATGGCAATAGCATATTGTGCTTCAAACATATTTAAGTAGAGGCTGCTTGAAGTTGAAGACTATTTGCAGGATAACTGGGGATATTTCCACGCAGCCTATATCCTAGAATGCCAAGGCAGGAAATCCCACAATACCGGCTTTGAACTGGTTTATCTGAGTCCACACTGCCATATATTCCAGTTCAAAGCAGATAATGTGGGTTTTTATTCAACTGTGTGGAAGGGGCCTGGCTATGCGAACAAGAAATACTTGTATCCCATCCAAACTGGAACAGGCCCTCTCAACCTTGCTCCTCCGCACATACTGCTATTTCTGTATGGATGTGCGTCACAATTGCACCATCTGGGTTTGCAACTCAATGTCAGTTGCTGACGTCTTGGGCCTGATATGCGCAGAGCTGCCCAGTGTGCTAAAGTCCAGAAAGAAAGGGGGAGGAGGCCCGAGTATCATGAACACTGTTGCATAATGAAGTTGCTTCATGTGTTTCATTCCCCGTATATTCTAGTGCAAGCCCTGCCCCAGAATAGAGATACCTAACTCAACAAGCCCCCTCTCCTAATGCTGGAGAGCATGCTTTCCTGAATGTGCTCCTTAGCCGAGCACATGGCTGACATTGTTGGTGTCCAGCCAGACAGGGACTGCTATATCTACCTTGCAATTCTTAGACTACTCTCACTCAAATTAATTTGGAGGAAAGGGGAACCATCTCAGCAGATGCCCAAAGATGATAATCCTCCTGAAGTGGCACCACTGGGCAAGTGCCAAGGTCCGCAACTAAGGATCAAAGCCAAAGCCTCTTTCTTATGCCAAGGCCGATTTACCTTCTCTGCCCCTTGAGCATGAAGACAGCAACAAAAGCAAGAAAAACATGCAGAAGACCCCCGACACACACTCTTTAATATTTCCTACTTGAACAGGACAGTGAAAAAAGTGATGGAGAGTAAGGCCATTTCTATACTGCCATATAATCCAGATTATCAAAGCAGATAATCCAAATTATATGCTTGGAATATGAGTCCACACCACCATATAATCCAGTTCAAAGCAGATAATCTGGATTTATATGCAGTGTAGAAGGGGCCTTTAGCAGAGCTTTCCAAACTGTGCGTCACGACATGTCAGCATGCCAGCTGCAGTGTGTATGTGTGGAATGTGAACATGACAAGAAATCTTAGAAAGTTTTGTCGCCTTACAAATCCGATATTTTTAAAAATAAATAAATTAAAGGTCATGAGATATGTTGTCCTCCCCCCATTTTATTATTACAATTTATGTATTAATTTGTTATCTCTTATATCTTTTATAGCCGCCCCGAGTCCCCTTGGGGAGATGGTGGCGGGAGATAAATAAAGATGATGACGATGATGATGATTGGGTTGGTTACATCTCCAGTTCGCTAGTAAAATTGAATTACAGTGCTGCAAAATAATGCATGTCTAAAAAGTATGTTACCAGCACGAAATGTTTGGAAAGCTCTGTTCTAAGATATTGTGATGGACAACTAATACGAGTGCTATCAGAGAAACAAAAAAGATTCCCCATTGAGCCAAGCACCTAAAGCAGTGTTCCTCAACCTGAAGGGGTGCCAGAGGGGTCACCAAAAACCATAAGAAAACACAGTATTTTCTGTTATGAGCCAACAATGTGATGTGGTGGCAAAAAAAGCCAATGGGATTTTGGCCTGCATCAATAGGAGCATAGTGTCTAGATCTAGGGAAGTCATGCTACCCCTCTATTCTGCCTTGGTTAGACCACACCTGGAATATTGTGTCCAATTCTGGGCACCACAATTGAAGGTAGATGTTGACAAGCTGTAATGTGTCCAGAGGAGGGCGACTTAAATGATCAAGGGTCTGGAGAACAAGCCCTATGAGGAGCGGCTTAAAGAGCTGGGCATGTTTAGCCTGAAGAAGAGAAGGCTGAGAGGAGGTATGATAGCCATGTAGCTTTAGACTCACTGCACCCCCTAACCTCCGCAGAGGTGGAGGACCCATTAAGTTGGTCCGCCCCAGGAGGCTTATGGATCCGGATGGATTCCTGACGGCTCTTGGGGAATTTCCCGCCACCTCGGTTGGTGATCCTGTTGATGCCCTGGTCGCTCTCTGGAATGGGGAGATGGCGAGGGCAATAGACACGATCGCTCCAGAACGTCCCCTCTCAAGTAGCCGAGCTAAACCAGCTCCTTGGTTTACTGAGGAGCTGGCAGCGTTGAAGCGAAAGAAGAGGGAACTAGAGAGCGTGTGGCGTTCGGATCCGAGCGAGCCAAATCGAACACGGTTTGTGTCCTTTTTAAGGGCATATGCCGCGGCAATAAAAGCCGCAAAGAAGACTTTCTTTGCGGCCACTATTGCGTCTGCAAAGAACCGTCCGGCTGAACTGTTCCGAGTTGTCAGAGGCCTGTTAAAACCCACCATGCAGGATGGGTGCCCTGATGACTCGGCAGCTCGCTGTGAAGCTTTTGCTCAGTTCTTTGCAGACAAAGTCGCTTTGATCCGCTCTGGTCTGGATACCATATTAACGGCAGTCTCTGAGGATGTAACACGAGCATCTGCTTGTCCGGTTTTGATGGATTCATTTCAATTGGTGCAACCCGAGGATGTGGACAAGGTGCTTGGAGGAATGAGAGCTACCACATGCATCCTAGACCCCTGCCCATCCTGGCTTCTGAAGGAGGCCAGAGGGGGATTGGCCGAGTGGGTGAAGGTGGTGGTTAATGCCTCCCTTCGGGAAGGCAAAATTCCAGCCAGCTTAAAGCAAGCTGTTAAAACCGCTGTTGAAAAAACCATCACTGGACCCCACTCAATTCGTCAACTATCGGCCTGTTTCCAATCTCCCCTTTTTGGGCAAAGTCCTGGAACGTGTGGTGGCCTCACAACTCCAGGCATTCTTGGTAGACACGGATTATCTGGATCCGGCACAGTCTGGCTTTAGGCCGGGGCATGGTACCGAGACAGCCTTGGTCGCCTTAGTGGATGATCTGCGCCGGGAGCTCGACAGGGGGAGTGTGTCCCTGTTGGTGCTGCTGGACCTCTCAGCGGCCTTCGATACCGTCGACCACGGTATCCTTCTGGGACGCCTCGCGGGAATGGGTCTTGGAGGGACTGTTTTACAGTGGCTCCGCTCATTCCTTGAGGGTCGGTCTCAGAAGGTGTTACTGGGAGACTCCTGTTCAACCCCACAACCTTTGTCTTGTGGGGTTCCTCAGGGTTCAATATTGTCTCCCATGTTGTTTAACATCTACATGAAGCCGCTGGGTGAGATCATCCGGAGTTTCGGAGTGCGATGTCATCTGTACACGGATGATGTCCAACTCTGTCACTCCTTTCCACCTGCTACTAAGGAGGCTGTCGAGGTCCTGAACCGGTGCTTGGCCGCTGTGACGGTCTGGATGAGGGCGAACAAATTGAAATTGAATCCAGACAAGACAGAGGTACTCCTGGTCAGTCGTAAGGCCGAACAGGGTATAGGGTTACAGCCTGTGTTGGATGGGGTCGCACTCCCCCTGAAGATGCAGGTTCGCAGTTTGGGTGTGATCCTGGACTCATCGCTGAGCCTGGAACCCCAGGTTTCGGCGGTGACCAGGGGAGCATTCGCACAGTTAAAACTCGTGCGCCAACTGCGCCCGTACCTTGGGAAGTCTGACTTGGCCACGGTAGTCCACGCTCTGGTTACATCCCGTTTAGACTACTGCAACGCTCTCTACGTGGGGTTGCCTTTGAAAACGGCCCGGAAGCTCCAATTAGTCCAACGCTCGGCAGCCATGATACTAAGGAGCGGAGCGCAGGGAGCATACAACTCCTCTGCTGCACCAGCTCCACTGGCTGCCGATTTGCTACCGGGCTCAATTCAAAGTGCTGGCGTTGGCCTTTAAAGCCCTAAACGGTTCTGGCCCAACCTACCTATCCGAATGTATCTTGGCCTATCAGCCCACCAGGACCCTAAGATCTTCTGGGGAGGCCCTGCTCTCTATCCCGCCTGCTTCACAGGTGCGGCTGGCGGGGACGAGAGACAGGGCCTTTTCTGTGGTGGCCCCTCGGCTATGGAACGCCCTTCCCATGGAGGTAAGATCAGCCCCCTCGCTGATGGTGTTCCATAGAAGATTAAAAACCTGGATGTTCGAACAGGCATTTGGTTAATTCGGTGCAATGAATGTAATGATTAAAGGATTGGTAATATGGACGACGAAAGTGGATCACGATTTTAGTCAGGAGATGCATTGGATTGTTATTGATGTGCGAATATTGTGTATCATGCTTTTATGGTTTTAAATTGTATACTGTTGATTGTTGTATTTTGTTGTAAACCGCGTTGAGTCGCCGGCTAGGCTGAGAAACAGCGGTATACAAGTATAGCAAATAAATAAATAAATAATATACGAGTATAGCAAATAAATATGTGAGAGGAAGTCATAAGGAGGAGGGAGGGAGCTTGTTTTCTGCTGCCCTAGAGACTAGGACACGGAACAATGGCTTCAAACTACAAGAAAGGAGATCCCATCTGAACATGAGGAAGAACTTCCTGACTGTGAGAGCTGTTCAGCAGTGGAACTCTCTGCCCCAGAGTGTGGTGGAGGCTCCTTCTTTGGAAGCTTTTAAACAGAAGCTGGATGGCCATCTGTCAGGAGTGATTTGAATGCAATATTCCTGCTTCTTGGCAGGGGGTTGGACTGGATGGCCCATGAGGTCTCTTCCAACTCTATGAATCTATGATCCTGCAGACGGGTTTAGGGCTCCGTTTCCATGTGCTGTGGAAATGGAAACTCACAGAGTCACATTGGAAGTGTCCTTACATCATGTGATGGCCTCCATAGGACTCCATTTCCGAAGCGCATGGTAACAGAGACTAGAACCTGTGGGATGAAGTCCTAATAATAATAATAATAATAATAATAATAATAATAATAATACTTTATTTATATCCTGCCACCATCTCCCCAAGGGAACTCGGGGCAGCTTACATGAGGCCAAGCCCCACAGTGGGATGAAGTCCTAATAATAATAATAATAATAATAATAATAATAATAATAATAATAATAATAATTTTTTAAAAAACTTTATTTATATTCCGCCACCATCTCCCCATGGGAACTCGGGGTGGCTTACATGAGGCCAAGCCCCACAGTACAGCAAAGCAAAAATACAACATAAAATACAAACAGTAAAATATAATAATAATAATAATAATTTACAAAAACAGTATAAATAAACACACCAACCAATATAAGGTCACAGTATTTGGGCAGGGTGAGTTCCAAGGGTTAAAAGTTTAAAACACTGGGTGGGGAGTCAAACCCTGGTCTTCAAAGTCATAGGCCCCTTCTACGTTGCCACATAAAATCCAGAATATCTGCTTTGAACTGGATTATATGGCAGTGCAGATGGGGCCTGAGTTGGGAGTCAAACCCTGCTCTCCAGAGTCGTAGGCCCCTTCTATACTGCCATATAAAATCCAGATTACCTGTTTTGGTCATCTGGATTATAAGGCAGTGTGGAAGGGTTCCCATTCCAACGCCCAAACTACTACGTCAATACGCAAGGTGCATGAAGCAACTCCAGTGATAAGGAGATTGGCACAGGATGCTCTGAAAGCCATGTGGTTTCATTTGAAATACTGTGGAAATTTCCTGCAAAATTCTGGAGTTTGTAAAATTTAGTGAAGTCCAGGCTGGATCTACACCGCCCTATATCCCAGGATCTGATCTCAGATTATATGCTTTGAACTGGATTATAGGAGTCCCCACTGTCAGATAATCTGGGACAAGAAAAAATCTGGGTTCAGATCCTGGGATATAAGGACAGTGTAGAAAGGGTCCCAGTAAATTCTCTGGATGAGAATGGCAAATGCCAGGATTCCACAAGAGGCAGCAGCCAAAATCAGATAGTCTTCCCAGACAGACCCTATATCTCAGGATCTGACCCCAGGTTTTCTGCTTTAAACCGGATTATATGAGTCCACACTACTAGATAATCTGGGATAAACAGAAACCCTGGGATCAGATCCTGGGATATAGAGCTTGTCTGGAAGGGCCCATAGCAACTCTTCCACAGTGTGCCAGTGTGAGAATCTCCCAGGACTGAGACCCCCATGTGACCTCTGCAGGAAAAGCCCCGTACGCGACCACATGCAGGCCCTTTGGGCTCCCTGCTCGTCTTTTCCAAAGGAAGGGGCTAAAATCCATCCCAAGACCCTCCCCAGCTGTCCGGCTCCAAACTCACCCGCCCGCCACCAGGTCAAGCGCTCGGCTTCGTCTTGGAGGCATCCTTTGCAATCCTTTGCAAGACTCTGGAGTCTCTGTCCCGCGCGCGCAGGGCCCGGGCAGGCAGTGGTGGCACGCGGGGAAGGGGCGGCTCTGGAAAGCCACGCCCCCTCCTCGTGCGCCGGCTGGGCGGGGCCCCGAAGGAGTGCCTTTTCCTTCCCTCCGCCTGCTGCAGCCAAGAGTGGTTTTTGATTGGTCGCTGCCCATGGCCGGCTGCCCTACCTTTGCCTCTGGCAGTGAACTTGGTGGGACAGAAAGGAAAACCTATTCAAACTGTCTGAAAACTCATTCAGATGGTCTGGATTCATGCATCTATTGGGCTTTCCAGACAGCCCTATATCCCAGAATATTAAAGCAGAAAATCCCACATTATCTCAAAAAAATGCAGTTCAAAGGGGATATTGTGGGATTTTCTGTTTTAATATTCTGGGATAGAGGGGGCTGTGTGGAACCTCCCTAATTAATGTGTAACTTTACACTGACCTAGGGAAGCACCCTAAGGAATTTCTGCAGCCATGTGCAACTGGATCCCACTGGTGTAACTCTTACCAACTGTCTGCTGCAGAACACTCCCAGATCAGTTAGTGCTTAGTATCCTTTTTGGAGATTTATCTCTCTGCTCATCTGGGAGGCCCTTCCACACAGCCCTATGTCCCAGAATATCAAGGCAGAAAATCCCACAATATCTGATTTGAACTGGGTTATCGGAATCCACGCTGCCATATATCTGAGTTCAAACCAGAAAATGTAGGATTTTATTCAGCTGTGTGGAAGGGGCCTAGATTGACTACATTTTCACATCTAGGGCTCCTTCTGCACTGCCATATAAAATCCAGATCATCTGCTTTGAACTGGATTATATCACAGTGTAGACTCATATAATCCAGTTCAAAGCAGATAACATGGATTATCTGCTTTGATCATCACTTGATTATATTTATTTATTTACAGTATTTATATTCTGCCCTTCTCACCCTGCAGGGGACTCAGGGTGGATTACAATGCACATATACATGGCAAACATTCAATGCCATAGACACACAACATATATAGACAGACACATAGAGGCTATTTAACATTCCAGCTTCATGAGGGTATGCTCGAATTCCAGCCACCGGGGAAGCTGTCACTTCACCGCCCATTGGTGACACCGATGGAGTACTTCCTCATTCTTTTGCACACTGCTGGAGATTTTTATGGCATTGTAAATGAGCCTCCCCGCATAAAGGAGTACCTAAATTTCCTATTTGACAGATGCAACAATCTTTCAGGCTGCAAAAGTCGACAGCAAGCTAGACAAATGTTCAGGAGCTTACTCTGACCTGAACTGGCTTCGAACTCATGACCTTTCAGTCAGTAGTGATTTTAATGCAGCTGACTCCCAACCAGCTGTGCCTGGCAGTGTAGTCGGGGAACAGAGTGAATTTGATCTTTTCTTCCAAAGCAACAGGTAGCATGGCCTCCCAACTTCTCCTCCTCCTTTTTCAGCTATTTTCCCAATAGAGGGGTTAGCATTGTGACTGCCGTTTCCAGAGAGCTTTATTTTGGGCATCCTCAGGTCTCAGATTGGCAACACGCATGTCTTTATTGATGGTGTCCATCCATCTTTTCTTTGACTTTCTATATAACTTTTATCTTTTTATATTCTGTATCTATTTCATATTTTATATATATACACACACATATATACATATATTTATTTACCAAAATATAACCAGATAGGCCCAGAGAATTCACTTCCCTGCTGAGAAACTTCTTGCACAAAAAGGGTGGGCAACACCTCCCCAGCATTTTCCAAGCCAAGGCAATTAACCAGAACTATTTTTCATGTGTATATAGAGACAGGTGATTGCCTGCTAGCTCAGCTAAATCAAAATGTCCCACTGATATATAAACCTCATTTGCCTAGTTTCTGACAGACCTCACAACCTCTGAGGATGCCTGCCATAAATGTGGGCAAAATGTCAGGAGAGAATGCCATACAGCCCAGACAACTCACAGCAAACCAGTGATTCCGGCCAAGAAAGCCTTTGACAGCACACCAAATCTATTTATATGGTTCACTTGAAGCTGAGAGATTGTTGACTGCAAAAAGAAGGTCTATGATTGTTATACAATCCTTTATTTTAGACTCAGACATTGACTCCAGAGATCATCACCCTTTGTCCCTTGAGTCTTGCACCTTTGTGTTTTAAAGCTCCTATCTTTGTTTGACACAGGACTAGACAGATATTTACCCTTTGTTTTCCAAGACTGTGCCCTCCCAAGGGAGGGGGTGGCAGCTCTGCAGCTGATTGGTCCTTCAATTTTACCAATCCCCAGTTGCCATTCCCCCACTGCCAGCCAATCCTGGCATGGATCCTAGCCAGCCTCTTTTCTGGCCAATCAGGGGAGGGGGCAGGAAGTCTGAACTGCATAAGACATCTTGCATTTTTCTGTATATTTATACTTGTACATTTTGAAGCAAATTTGCTGTACTTGTATCCTTTTTGGCCAAATCGTAATAAACCCCTGTGGCTTGTCTTCAACTTGGTGAGTTGGTTTCTCTGTCCTGGCCTATCTGGTTTTAGTATATGCTCGCCAGGCATGGATCCTCTTTAATTGTGGTCCTAGTTAACCACAAGACCTTGACTTGATCTTTAAGAAAACCCTTCCTTAAAAAACTGTCTGAATAAAAAGCTTTAAGCCTTAAAGATCTTTCATTAGTGCCTCTGTACACAACTTTACAATTATGACCCTCATCTACTGATGCCATTAGTCTATATGTGGATAGAATAAGAAACCTATGAATAAGGGCCTATTCAACACTGGTAATATATAATTATTTGATGGGGAGATATTGGAAATATAGATATTTATACATATATTGTATATACATTACAAGCACTGAAATGTAAGAAAAATCAGGTTCTCTCTGTATTAGAAAGCCAAGCTGACAGACCACAAAGAATGCTGAAGGAGATCTGGGTGAAAGGGGGAGGAAAAGGGGGCATGTTATCTATACAGAGACTGGTACAGCATAGCACAGGCCATACCTTCTTACCTCTAAAAAGTAAGGAGTTATCCCCCTCCCTCCTGACAGGTCAAAAAGTAGACCCCTGATGGATGTAAGCTGTTCTTTAGGAAAAATACTGACATATGCCTCTTGCATGTTGGAAGATAGAATTTGATATTTCTATGATGCTTAAGGTGACGTAGTGATGATGTTACGTATGTAGAAGCTTGTTTCTTTGCTTGCCTGCATTTGAAGTTGTATAAAAAGGAAAGTCAACACCTTTATCCTCACTCTGGTTGGCTTTGCATGTAATTCCACCCAGGGTCTCAGCTAACAATAAACATACTTTTCTGCCTCCAGAAAGGATTGCTCTTGGTATTATCTCTCCTATCTGCTGCTACATATTTACATTTACAGTTGTCACTCCACATTTGCGCTTCTGATTTTTGCAGATTTAATTATTCAAGGATTTGATCAACATGTTCTTTTGAGGAATCTCTGGTCCTCCAGTGTGTCACTGTGGTGAGTTTCCTCCAATCAAAGCTGGAGCCTTTGTGAAGATCAAATCTCTAGGGCCCCTTCTACACTGCCATGTAATCTAGATTATCAAAGAAGATAATCTACACTATCTGCTTTGAACTGAATTATATGAGTCTACACTGACATATAATCCAGTTCAAAGCAGATAATCTGGATTTTATATGGCAGTGTAGAAGGGGCCTAGGAATCCCTTGGTCCTTCAGTGTGATTCCATGGTCAACTTCCAGTTGAAGTTGGCCACAGAGTGTGCAGGAAGACCTAGAAATTACTAGAAAAGTGTTCCCTTGGGTAAAAATAGCAATTTCTTTATTTGTGCTCTTTCACTGTGGTCCTGTGCCAGTACGCCCAACAAATGTGGAGAGCTGACTGTATCTACAAAGTGATGGCTATTCTCATTTTTGCCCTCATGATTGGCTGTGTAGACTTTTGGTGTGGAAGTGTGTATACTAAAGGAAACCAACACTGAAGTAGGAACTTTGATTAATTTAATCTCTCTCAATTCCCACAACTTTACCTATAGCTCCTGGAATTTTAACTGGTGAAAGAAGGCAGTGCACCACTATTCAAAGCTCAGAAAGTCTGGTCCAAGGAGGGTGGGAACCGGGAGCTCAAAGGGGTTTTAAAGATACGGTAGAAGTGACTTAAAGACCTTATGTGGCTACAATGTCCATGTACTCACATGCAAAAAATTCTGTTCCACTCTTCTCATTGAGCATCCATACACTATTAATGATTCTTTCAACTGCCCTGTAAGGCAGGCAAAAATTATTAACTTTTTATTAACTTTTTGTCACAGATGGATTAACAAGAAAACTGCCTCGCTGGACAAAATGGTCAACCTTCACAGTAACCAAGAGGCTAACCCAAGCCTCTTGCCTTTTGAAACTGCTTGATCAGAACAGTCAGTGACTCGCAATCATCTTTTCCTCTTTCTTAAAAGAAGGGCTTTTTTGAGTGAACAGAGGGGCGGGGGAGGGATAATTCCTTGTTTTTGCCTTTCTACCTAAGGTCCCTTCCACACAGCTGCATAAAATCCCACATTACCTGCTTTGAACTGAAATATATGGCAGTGTGGACTTAGATAACCCAGTTCAAAGCAGATATTGTTGTATTTTCTGACTTGATATTCTGGGTTAAATGGATGTGTGGAAGAGCCCTAGGTCTCCAATTGCACTACCATTCCATTGTGAAAAACTCCATGCTCCTATGAAGCAATGCTATGCTGACAGTACCAGTGCTGCTGATAGGGTCTCCCATGCCAGGCAGGCTTTTTTGCTAAAGAGCCAGATTAACAGCAAATGCAGCATAGATAATGCTTGTTTGTGCTCCAAGGATAGAGATAATGGTGTATCATTTTTGAAGCTTTCAACCTTCCAAATCGTATGATGATACTGGTCAAAATAAAATTAGGGGATAGTTCCAAAAGATGAGGTTTCCAGATTGGAAGAGACTCAACAAGCTACTGGGGATGAGCAGAGAACAAATGTGAATAGTGTTGTGGCTACTAATGCAAAAGGACTCTAATCAAATTAACATTCAGCTACTGATG